AGTCAAGATGCACATGCTGGTCATTATTTTCGTACATTCACCTAAAAAAGTACAGTAAACTCTTTAGCATTCCGTACATGAACCTGCCCAGCTGACCCTTTCATGATTTACCTGCACCTAAGACTTTAATAGATCATGGATCCTAAGCAACAACTAAGTAAAGGCAGAAATATATACTAGTTATATATAGGCGAACATAAGTTTGCTCAATTGGTAAGGACGAGTCATATTTTCACGAAAGGTCGTGTGTTTGAATTCTGCTACCGATGTGAGATCTGTATTGATGGACGATCTGTAAGTACCTCTGTGACTAGCCTATAGTTTCGGAGGCTTGTCCTCACCTGTGATAATGATCGGAGTCGAACCCATCCAAACTTTTTTCACTCAAATAAAAGTCATATATGTGTAGAAACTATTTTGATTAATGGTGTATGCATGGATTGTTATATGTTTGGTCTCTTAATTTTCATAGTAAATACCATCAAAATCAATTTGTTTTCTATCATTTATCCCAATTTAGTCTGCCAGCAATCACTTGGCTTCTAATATTCAGTGTTAAGAGTGCCATTGGATGCACATTTTCGGAGTTATAGAAAATGTATCCTCCAGTGGCACTCTTAAAACTTTTATTTTGAACAGTTTGTGTATCAAGTTTTTTGGCCAACCACCCTCCAAAAAAAATTTAAAAAAAAAACTTAGAGTATGAACGGGGGAAGTTGTTGAAACAGAAGGGCTATAGAGATGCTTTTTTTTTTTTTTGGCAGCCTCCATACTTCAGTAATATTCTATGTAGCATATACGAACTTCTTCGTGTATAGTAACCAGATAACTACGCTGGGCTGCTAATTAGGTGCCATGAGTTTTTCAATTGTTGATGTTGTGTGTTGTTTAACAATGTCCTTGCCCTTTCTATTTGAATCCTGACTTCTTTCTTTTATAAGTAATTAAAGCAGAAATTGCATAATAATAAAACAGCAGCCATAGCATGCTTCCATTATCATTCATCTTTTTGCTTCATCATCCTGTTGAGAGGAGTTGAGGGTACGTATAACTTCCAAGCCATCTTGAACATTAATGTTCAGCTCTTTTTTACGAAAATTTTCATCTGATGGTATCTTAGAATATAGTTGATTTACAAAACAGAAAAAAAAATGTGAGAAGATTTTTATGATAAAGGTTCCAACAACCATAAAGCCATGATCTAAGTGATAAGAACTTGTTTTTGAGCGAAATAATGAACATCATTTACTAAATCATTCCGTTGACTTTGAGTTTTTATCTAATTTTGATGTGTCATGTGGACCTGTGATGATGGCTACAAGAGCAGGTGGCTTGCTTGCTGAAGTCAACCTGCAGCATGCACGAAATTTCCGTACAGTCAATTACAAATTTTCTTGATTACTTACATGAATCTGTCCCTTCACTCAATTGCAAGAAAATACATAGTAATAACCTCATCAACTAAGAAATGATTGTGCCAAATATTTTGGTTTTAAAGCCCAATTCGAAATCCTAAGACTAGTTTTTCTTGAGTTTTCTTCCCGTTATTAGGGATATCAACTAAGCAATATATTCTGTGCCGGCAAGGTTTCGACATATCGTGGAAGCTAAGCAACAACTATATATATTATATATGGTATATGTTTTTCTCAATATTCTGTTCATCAATTTGTGTTTGAAAGGTACACTCTTTTTTTTTTTTGAATAAACCAATTCAGATGACTCATAAATTGGCAGTGACCCTATGTCATTTCAATCTTGTTGATATGCTCATGAGGTAAGCATTTGAAGTTTCCTTCCTTCATTGGTTTTGTCGTGGAAGACAACGGTTGACTTTCGATTTATAGGTTAACCTAGTTGACAACAACTATGTCACGATGATTCAGCACACATGTTTGATTCTCAGCCCCGCTTCCACTTTAAAATCACAAAATTGTATGAAACACACATGAGCGTGCAGGGTGTAAATGAATTATGCCCTTAACGTATAATTCGATTTATCAAGATTTCGTTATGAGTTTGATTTTAGTTACTTCGAACTCGAAGTTGAACCAAAATTAGAATTCGATTAACTTATCAAATCGAGTTTGAAGTTGTAAACATGTGACTCATTAAGGCTCAATAAGAACGAGGTATTTTTTCAATAAATTACCACTAACATTTGTTTAATATTATATATAAATTGTATGAAAAAAAAATCCAACTTTCAAGTGGAATTTGAATTGAATTGAGCTCAACCTTAAACTTTAAACTCATGTAGAATTCAAGGTCGAAATTGAGTTCGAGTACAAAACTTTGAATCCAGTCTGACAATTAAAAGTTGGAGTAAATTTGATCCGTTTACGATGTCAAACATCCCATTTCCCAAGTTGCAGTGATGCAGCCAAGTTGCATTTGTGCTGCTTTGGTGATTGGTATACGCTAAATCCTCTCGATTTTCTTGTAATTTGCTCTTTCCAATGCATTAGGGGACAAAAACAAAATGCTTATGCAATTATGCTTAATCAAGTTCAAGGCCTTGTAGAATTCTTTAAAACGATTAGTATTGCAGCTGTACATCCTTGGGACTTGGCAACTCGGTAATTTAAATTCGGACTCAATATGACCCCAAAAAAAAAAGTTAAAGGAAATGTCTTACCATTTAAATAGTGTTTTCTTCTTCTGTGCTTTTGTATGCCCCAATACAGATTTGTCATTTGTATGCACTGCTTATATATATATATATGGATAAAATATAGAAAAGCCCTTTGAGATTAAACAAACATACAAAAAAATTCTCTATAATTTCAAAACATACACTCCAGTACCTTGTGATTTGAACGAATTTAAAAAAGCGAAGGAAATCATTTGAATTAATATGTTTGAAATACATGCGCTTTTTTTTGTGAGTATTTGTATTGAAAACAAACAAATTTTCAGTTGATCTATCTATTATACCCTTAGAATTGTAATATAGAAAAGCTCCCATGGTTAAACAAACCTACAAAAAAAATCTTTTATGATTTCAAATCATACAATCTAGTACCTCATGGCTTGAACTAATGTGAAAATTTGACAAAAATCATTTAAATTAACGAGTTTGAAATTGCTTGACATGAAAATAATTTTTTTAATCAAATTTTTAGCTAATATACCTATTAAACCCCTTAGAACTCATAAAATTTTCAAAAAAAACCCAAAACTCCCAAATACAACTCATCTTATTTCTATATATAAAATAAATAAATAAAAATTTCCAAATAAAACTCACCTTATTTCTATACACAAAATAAATAAATAAAAACATTCAAATACAACTTACATTATTCCTATGCACTAAATAAATAAAATAAAGCTCCTAAATAAACTCACCATATTTCTATACACAAAATAAATAAATAAAAATAAAATACCACTCTTATCTCTCTCTACCACCACCCTTGCCTCTTGCCACCCCCACTTTCCACCTTCCACTGCCATCCTCCCCTCCATCACCACTCTTTTCCCCTCTTTCTTCCTCCCCTCCTTTTACCTTTCCTTTCCTTCTCTCTCTAGCATCCCGCTCCCTCTCCTCCCCTCATGGCCACTTCCCTATACCTTCTCACCTTTCAGTGACCATAGTTAGTCGCGAGGGAGAGAGAAGGGGTGCAAGTAAGAGGTTGCAAACCAGATTGCCCCTTCTCTGTATCTCCTTCCCTTCCTCCTGTGATACATTGGTCAAGGGAAAGAGGTGAGGAGATGTGGAAAGGGGGCTTCAATGGGAGGGAAAGGGTGCAAGGGAGGGAACGGAGGAGGAAGAGAGAGGGGGAAGAGAGAGAAGAAAAAAGGAGAGGGATAGGGATTGTGATGGAGGAGAAGGTGGTGGTAGAAGATGGAGAATGGTGGTGGCTGTAACATGTAACTATAGGGTTTTTCCGTAGGTTAACTTAACCACAAGAGGTTTTTTCATAAACTTACTTAATAGGATGGTTGTTAGAAGGTTTTTTATTGCTTATATATATTAAGGTAATTGTGTCATTTCGTCCGCCTCAATTACTTTTGGCAATTTTCGTTACTATTTCAAATTAGTTCAAATCATGAGGAGTCGAAATATATGATTTGAAACTATAAGGAACTTTTCTGTATGTTAGCTTAACTATAGGGGGTTTTTTTATATTTTATCCTACATATATATTAAGTGCCAGAATTTTATTGATGAGCAAGAACGAGTACACAAGTTTGGAATATCCCGAAGCATTTACAGCCAAAAGAAAACATACAGCAAAATTCTAATACCTTTAACCTATACAAAATTTTCTAAATTGGAGCAAACACAACTAAAGAAATGCCAAGCTCTAAAAACAACTGCAATTTTATTTCTTTGCAGTGTTAATAGAATTGATGGACCCATTGCTTGATACAAGTTTATTTCTTTGCATTTTGCCGATGATGTTTCTGACTTGTAGATACTTTATTTTAATTTAGCAAACTTTTGATATTTGGACTTCTTTAAAAAGTAAACAGCTTATGACTCTATTATTTCAAAAAAACTAAAATCAAATGAACAATTTATAGAGTTTGAATCTTCAAGATTATCAATTTTCAAAAGGTCTTGTACATTTCTCTTGAAAGGAGAGATTTATTGTCATTGCGAAATGTTTCTTTTCTTATTCATCCTTTCCACTCTAAACATCTTCTAAACATTAAGGGATATGAATCAGCCGCATAAAAGTCAACCAATTAACTGAATCCCAAACACATTCTTCCTAAATTGTCTTTTTCATTCATACCATCCAATTCACGCAACTCTAGCCTTTGAACATGCTATAGAGCCATTTCACCACATTAAAAAACCATTATCTCTGCACAAAGTCTTAAACTGATGCATAGAATTTTATTTCCATCTTTCTCTATATCCTGTACGTAAAAGCCAGCTTAAGGCTGTTTGACAATTTCCAACTTACACTCAAACATGTCCCTTCTCCTTGGGAGACCCCTAAAGATCTATATATATATTCAAAATCTAAGCACCCTCCATCCACTATCTCTAGCTTCATCCATATCTCTTCATCTGTTGCATCGTCTTCATCACTTCTATCTATCATCTTTTGCTTCCTAAACATTTGGCGTCGAAAGAAGATACAAAGACTCAATGGCTCGTGCTGCTTTGCTCGTGTCCTCAATTTTGCTTTCTTGTTTGGTAGCCACTAGTTATGGAGCGACCATTTCGTCCCTTATGAGAACTCTTGTAGTCACCGCCTCACCTGCAGCTGGACAAGGTATCACATTTCATTTTCCTTTATATTCTTTACACGTAGTTCTTAACACCAACAATGTAACACCTCAAAGTTATCACAATTGGCACATCATAAATTGCTTCAATCGAACTTAAATTTAAGATTCGTATCTCTAATTAAGTCCGTTTGAACTACTTGAATGATTCATTGTACGTTATGTTTCAGTGTTGTGTCTGAGCCTTTGTCATGGGGCAAAATATATGTCCCACAGTAACAAAAAAAAATCAACAGTCTGATTTCTTGATTGGATCAGTTTGCACTTTGAGGTCATCAATTAAATCAATGCTTGTAATTCCATTAGATTGCTTCACTTTCTGAAATTCCAAATTGAAAACAGTTCTAAAAGCTGGAGAAGACAAGATCACAGTGACATGGTCATACAACAATACTTTTGCACGGGGGACAGACTCAACTTACAAGACTATTAAGGTCAAGCTCTGCTATGCTCCTATCAGCCAAGTGGATAGAGCATGGAGAAAGACAGTGGACGATTTGTCTAAGGACAAGACTTGCCAATTCAATATTGTGACAAAGCCATACAATCCCTCTAACAACACGTTCACTTGGACTGTAGAGAGGGATACTCCCACTGCTACATATTTTGTGAGGGCATATGCGTACAATTCTGCAGAAGAAGAGGTAGGATTTGGCCAAACCACAGATGCTCATAAGACTACCAACTTGTTTGAGGTTCATGCGATTTCCGGCCGCCATACTTCCCTGGATATATCCTCCATCTGCTTCTCTGCGTTCTCTGTGGTGTCCTTGTTTGGATTCTTCTTCATCGAGAAAAGAAAGGCCAAATCTTCCCAGCAGAAATGATCAGAAAATGGTTCTTTCCAAATTTCCAAGTTTGTAACTTTTGTATGCATCAAGGGACCATTCTCTAACTTCAATGGCCATAATACGATTGGATCAATCCCAGTTGGAAGGTTTAAACTTTGAATTAATCTCACCAGTTGTATCTTTAAATAGTAGTATACATAGGTCCTATCGAGAACAGAAGTGCCTGATGTTATCTTTAAAGTATAATACAAGTTTCCCGTTGTTGCCCCAAAAAAGTGTTGCATGCTACAATTTACACCTTCAAACTCTTATATCTAGTGAAATATAGATATACTAAGTCTTTAATATTGATGTTATAATGAACATTAATTCATCATATTCTGCATCAAAGGTGTTTATCTTCTGACTGATTGACTGACAATGTTAAGCGTTCTAATTACACAACTCACTATGTTTTAGTGAAATATATTCTTCGTGCAATACTGCAATTGGCCAAAATATTACACTATCAGCCCCCAAATTAAAATGGCAATCAAGGAAATTGTTTGTAAAATTTCTTTACAGATTTTAAGTATTTGTTTTGGATTGGATCATATAAGCCACTCACGTAATGTATGTTAGGGATGCCAAAATGTCAAAAAATTAAGACTTTGGAATTGGGCTTTTTATTTCTTGCTATATCATCTCAAAAGTCTAAGTATTTTGTTTCACTTATTGGCTATATTTTCCTTGCAAATTTCAGATCATCATCTCCTCATTGGCATGCAATTTCTATCTCAAACTCGAAAGGCTGGCACTCTCAAAATCTTTGCAGTTTCATTCTTTTTCTTTTTCTTTTTTGTTGTACAAAAATCTTTGCAATTATAGAAGGGGCTAATTTAAAACAGCTTTTACAGGGTACAAATATTGATAAATATGGTACAGTCATTAAAAGCTTCGCTCTGAGGACAGAGTCCGCTCAGTACTTTATCCAACTGCAGTTCCCCATCCTCGGCCCATCATCGACCTAATTCGACAGATATGATTGGGCCTGTCTTTTATATATATATATATATATATAAATAAATATATATATATTATCTATGAATAAATACAGAATAAGCAAAACAAGTAAATAAATAAGAATAGACGGCTATATATATATATATTTATTTATTGATTGATTCTCTCTCTCAAGAATCAGTTTAGCTGGTAGAGATAATAATTAGGTAATCCAAGCATTCCGAATCAACACTCAATCCCCCTCTTCTCCTTTGTAAGATTTAGAGTCTCCTCTTAGATCAAAAAGAAAAGAAAAAAGATATTAAATTGTTTTTCTATTTTTTTTCATGAGAGAGATATTCAAGTTTAATTAATTAAGCCCAAAAGAAAAATTTATATAGTAGCTGAAGAAGCCCTTTTTTTGTTTTGAAGTTGGAATCAAAGTACGTATTATCCCAGATTCTGAATGTTGTCTCATATCAGGAAAGGGACCATCTCAAAAAACCTTTTCTTCTCTATGTTTAGAGAACATGTCAAACGCAGACAATATGACTTTCCCATTGATCATTAAGTAGTCAAAATCAATAAAATCAATTATTTCCTTCCAATGCTGATACTAAATTTTTTTTTTATATACCTTTAAGTCCCATAAGTCAGAGATAATAGCTAAATATATGATTCAAAGATTTCTATTCTAGATCCAAGAGCCCGGAGAAGGAAGATTTTTTTTTTCTTTTCAATCATCATTTATTTACAATTATTACTAACCTACGTGGTAGATAACGGGCATAATTGGATTTGCACCTTCAAGAAATAAAAAAAAAAAGACTAACTCATTATCGGATCAAATAGGTGCATAGTGATTAGATTTAAATTCAAAAGAATCATATTGCAATTACAGAAGCCAATATTGACCATCCACCCACAAAAGCCTTTGGGTAGGAAGGAAGGAAGGAAGATGAAATTGCAAAATCTGCCAAGTTACTACTTACCTGTACAGACTGTACATTGCCACATGGTAAAAACTATCCAAGTCAAAGGGTTCGATATGTCCCTTCATTTATTTATTATGCTTGGGATGGGTAATTAAATGTACAACAGCCAAATATCATCACTAAAGGTTAATTTATTATTCCAATGCTTATACATCTAAAATATCTAGACTGATATTTATTGATACATAGAATATCTTTTTCCAACGCTACAATTTCACTCTATTGTTTCTTCGTACTGCTGATATTCCAATGAAGGAACCAAAATTTGTGGATAGCAATTAATAGCTAGTAAGGCTGGTCAACCTGTCTTTCTTCCTATAGCTTCATATATAATTCAAGAGGCGTTTCGGACAGCTTTTTCTCATCTTTGTTCTTTCTAGTCCATTAGGAGGCAGCAATGACTGACCAACCCATAAAGAAACAAATTGATATCAAACTTCAAGGTACCTTCAATTGAATCTATCTCTTGGAATGCATGAAATTGCAGTATACTTAAATCCACACCTATCTTTTGTTCGTAATAAATTTCAATAAACATTAATTGAGCTATATTTTATTCGTAGGGTCAACCAATAAAATTCTCTATCACCATTTTTGCATTTGCTTTGAGATACTTCCTGATTTTAAAGACTATGCTTTGATTGCAAAATCGTATAAAATGATACAAGTTTCTTAGATGCAATTTTCTGATGAAATGGAGTTTATCATACCTCTTATATACATCTACAAAAAAAAAAATTGTTACTAAACTACACATGAAAGCATGGTTTCATTTGAATATAACGGTAAAAGAATATAGCCTTGAAAAATAGGAATATAAACTTCCAGAGATTGTACCCGCATATTTTTCTAATTTTATATATTACATATTTGTCGTGTATTTCTTTTTCTTGTCGTTTTGCAGACTTGAAATTTTTATCGCGTACATATTATACCTATCATAACTTTGAAAGTTAAAGATAACTTTTAATCATTAGTTTTTCCATGTCTATAAATTAAGTGTTGAGAGAATTTTTGCATGCTTATAAATTTCAATCTGTGATGCTACCAGAATCCTATAGTATTTTGCCATCATATTCCTCAAGCATGCAAATCATACATCCCACCTTTTTCTTACTAAATTTAAATTAGAAAGCAACTTTTGTGAGAAAGTACAATACGTTGCAAGGCTATAAAACCGTTCTAGCATAAGAACATTTTCACGTAGATTTTTGCAATTAATTCTGGTACCATGTATATCATATATAGCTTGTATACTTTCATATGTTAAAAAAAATCCAACAATCCTAGAATCCAAATTTCTAGTGAATGACAACATCCCCAGTCCCTTGTAAATCTTCAAAAGCAGCAGCCACCGGCGGGCGTTGACTCTTCTTTGTTCCGAAAAAGAGTAGAAAACCAGTTACACCGCTTGTCTAGCTGTCTTATGTGAAAGTGTTTTGGTACCCCCACTCGTGACTTCTCCCCTTGCATAAAAACCAACCCACAAGCAAAGTCTTTTGGTCCATCTTTACATCTATTTCTGTATCACAATTAGTGGTAGCCTTCCATCAAATCTTTTCACCACCATTCACCATATATTGCTCAATCCCTTAGTTTTGGAACTTTAAAAGAGCCAACTCTAAAGTCTAAATGGCAGCTGGTGGTTTCCTACTTGCTTTGCTTTTGCTTTCTTGCTTAGCAGCCTCTTCCAATGGTGTCACCTTCTCTTCCCTTCAGAGAACTCTTATTGTCAGAGCTTCTCCTACACAAGGACAAGGTAAAGAGCAATATGGCTTCCTTTCTTTTCCTTAGTTTCATTCTTTCGCTTCAAGATCCATTTTTTTCCTCCCTTTTCCGTGAAAGGCTGAAGATTGTTGATTGTTTGTTAAAAAATTGGCAGTTCTAAAAGCTGGGGAAGACAAAATCACGGTGACTTGGTCATACAACAACACCTTTCCACCTGGGACAGACTCAACTTACAAGACTATTAAGGTAAAGCTGTGCTATGCACCTATCAGCCAGGTAGATCGTGCATGGAGGAAAACTGTGGATGATTTGGCTAAGGACAAGACTTGCCAATTCAAGATTGTTGCCAAGCCATACAGTGCCTCTAACAGCACCATCACTTGGACAATAGAGAGGGATACACCCACCGCTACATATTTCCTCAGAGCCTACGCATTCAACTCTGCAGAGGAAGAGGTCGCTTTTGGCCAAACCACAGATGCACACAAGACTACAAACTTGTTTCAGGTTGAGGCAATTTCCGGGCGCCATGCGTCGCTAGATATTGCTGCCATCTGTTTCTCTTCTTTCTCTGTCTTGTCCCTCTTTGGATTCTTTTTCATTGAGAAGAGAAAAGGCAAAGCATCCCGACAAAAGTGAGTTAAAAAACTTTTGTGGTTTTCAGATCATGGGCTAATTATTGTAGTTTGATGTTCATGTTTTGAAACCTTTGGCGTCTAGCAGAATTAACTACTTTTTTAACTGCGTGATGCCTATGCAATAGTTAAAGGATCTTGGGTGAGTGGGGAACATCAAATTTCAAAGTGAGTGGGACAAGGATCGGCAAAAGGAAATGCTTGACAGGCATATGTCATATGTGTCAATACAGTGTAATTGCTATATGGGGATCAACGAAGTTCGTCAGGTACTGAAACAGTCAAGATTTGGCTAATGGGGAGGATTTGGTGAATAATTTTGGTGTTTTATTTGGTTCTCTTGTTTTACACCCTTTTATCATGCCATACATGTTATCTCCCCCTTCTTCTCTCCATATGCGCAGAATTTCTTTCTCTGCAATGTGATGGACCCAGGATTTTGGTCTTGTGGGTGGAGGAGAGGGAGGGGGCGAATCACCAATGATATAAAAGCAAAAGAATTTTATAGCAAAAAAAGTATACTAAATATAAAATGAAAGTTCACTAGCCTATAATTAGAAATAAGAACATTTTAAAAAATAAATGCAAAGTATAAAAAAAATGTGAAAATTAGACTTTATACCATTTTATTTACAATCAATGTGATGCGTTCAAAATTGTGGTTGAAACTTTTTCAATTTGTATGATAGCTAGAACATAATTTTCTTTTCTTTTCTTTATCTTTGATTTCATATGTAACATGTGAAGTGTTTGCTTAGTTGCTATTTTGAAGTTATAGTAATCAAATAAACTAACAGTTGGTTTGTTATAAGAAATTTGGTTAAAAGAAAAATTAATGTTTTTGTAATTGTTATTCAAAAATAGTATTAATAGTATGGTAATGTAGATACTAACGGTATACTTTTATAAGAAAACTAATTGTTAGTTTGGTAAAGGGCATTTCATCAAAAGAAATTAAACAAAATAACAAAAAAAATATTGATAATTATATATAGGTGGAGGCCAAAGTACTACAACGTTAATTGACAACTAAAATTATAAGAAGGATTTTAAAATTTCTCAAATTTTGGTTGCCGGGCAACTACGCCCCTCCCTTTTCCCTTGTGTCCGCCTATATGTTGACCATTTGATGCATAAATTTGCCTGCATTTCAAGAAGGAACCAGGTCTATGTGTTTAACTTGAACACTAGTTCTACTGGCGATCAAGAGAGGATTTGAGTTATGCTTGAGTTATCAATGCATTAATATACATAGCAACCATATAAACACGGGACAAACAGAACAAAAGGTAATTTCAGAACAGAACATTTGAAACACGAACCCCTTAAAAGCCTCCATAATCTTCCCCTCTCACCCACTGCAGCCATAATGTCCTTCTGATTCAATTCAAAAAATGACAGGGACTGAGTAAAAGTAAAGAAAAAGAGAATAGGACAAAATGTGTTTGGATTGTAATGCTTTGAGAAAAAATAATTTTTAACATAAATTTCAATATAATTTTTTATCTCACATATATCACATCACAAAAAATATTACAATAATTATTTCAAATAAATTCCTCTCCAATAATTTCTGTATGAATTTATTCAAAGAAAATAGTCGGCCTAACGTGACAAATTTGAGGCTAATGACTTGAAACAGACGGCTAGATTGCCTCTTTATTTTCCACAACGAATACTATGTTCTTTTATGCGCGTGGACATTAAAAGTCAACTAAGAACGTCCATCATTACCAACCACCACTAAGGAATAGGAGGAAAAAAACAAGAAAAGGAAAAAGCTGCATTCCCATTGAAAAGGGAATATAGAAGAAATTTATTTTCAGAAGAAAGTGAAATGTGAAAGAATAATGTTTAATATTGGAAGCCACAGGCGAGGGGTAGAGGGCTTTACTGGGTTGGGTTGGATGAGGAAATCTATTGGAAGGCGGCAGCAGTATCCAAAATCCTGGAGTAGCCATCTAACTCAAATGAAAATGAAGATACAGCCATCAGAATTTATGGTTCTTTGCTTAAAGCTATTCATTATTGTTGAATAATTATAGGTTACATTTGGGCCGAGAAATTTGATGAAAATTTTGAAATTCTATCAAATATCTCTAATTGTTACAATTATTTAGAAGACATTTGAATCTGTAAATCACCAACTATTATAGTGTTTCAAATGTATTTTAATAATTGATGAATTATCAATTTAAATGCATCTTAAACAGTCCATACAATTAGAGCAATGGATTTCAATTCCATCGTCCAATCCCTTAATCCAAAGGAAGCAGAGTATCTAGTCACAATTAGAGGTGTCAAAATGGGTGACTTGGGCGGGTTTGGGTTGGGTAAAATGGGTAATGGGTATAAGTGAGTCAACCCATTTATACCCATTTAATTAGATGGGTAAGTCAAAAAATGAATTGGGTAACCCAATTACCCATTTATAACCCATTTATTTTAATTTTTTGTAAATTCATTTAAATTCATTTTTGCAAACTAAGTTATCAATTTATACCGCTCTTTGTACCCATCATTAGTTTTAAATATTTACTTATAATGTTCAATAAGCCTAATTACCAAATCTTTTTCATTTATACTCTATTTCACAAAATTACATATTATTTAATAATTGAATGATAAGAATATAAAAATTTGAACTAAGTACTATAAAAGTTAATATAAAAATTTAATCCAAAAATTTTTAACCCCTAACATTTTTTTCATATATAAATTTAAAATTTCATTTTAGAAAGATAAGAAAAGAGGCTTAAATTTATCATAAATTGGTAATGCCGAAAAATGAGCAAGTTAACAAACAAAGAGAAAACAAAATAATAAACTAAAACCAACAAATAATAATAATAATGAAACAAAAGTAATTAACATCATGACAAAATGAAAAATTTGAAAAAAAAAAATGGGTGGGGGAAAAGAAGAGATTTAGGGGAAGAGAATTTTAAATGGGTATTATTGGGTAATCCATTTATACCCATATACAAAAATTTAAGATACCCATACCCATCTATTCATGGACAGGTATGAGTAAATTTAGTTAAGTGGGTTATTTGCCACCTCTAGTCACAATCCTCTGACAGGACAGAAGTAGATGAATAACCTGATCACAAAATATCAACCTTCCAAAGTGCTTATCCATCTTCGTGATGCCAGTGCTCCAAAATTATACAAGTCTACCATATCTCATCATCCTACAGTTACCTTTTTTTTTTTTTTTTTCTGTATGACAACTCTAACTTGTCTCCAACGAAATGGGAAGAGGTAAGTCAACTGGAAGACGTGTAGAGGTCAGGCTCTGTCTTTTTAACGATTTAAAGCATCCAAAAACAAAGAATTGCCGACTTTGTGATGATAGTTGACAGCAAATCCCCTAGCCACCACATGTAGGGTTTAGCATGGGTCGGATATCCGTCTTGTACACTGTTTAGTTGACTCAGACTAACCAATTATTTTTTGATCCTTATTCATCTTGCATATGAGTGGTTACTTAGTTGTCAGATACTTGTCAAAAAAAGATTAGATCAATGAGTACCCTGCTCCACTCATTATTTAATTTTTTAAATGATTGATATTAATTTACTTTTATATTTTACATATTCATCTAAAACCCAATATAGATTTTTTTTCTAGAAAAAAAAGTTTCTTGCTAAGAAACAAATATACAAAGAGAATACACTAAAAAGGAAAAATTTTAAATAATTCAAAATCAATGAAAATTTAAAATAAGTAGTTCCCTTTTTTTAATATATATTCTACATCAATTAAACTCTTTCCTTAAAAACATAAGACCATGACATCTATCAATAAATCTTATAAACAAACTATAGTTTCTTATATTTGTAGTGCAATGTAAACTACAGTTTCATGTATTTGCAGTGCAATTTGTTTGATGAAATTATTTAGTTAATTCAAAAAATATTATTTTATAATATGTGTATAAAAATAAAAAATATATATATAGGGTAGGTCGGGTATTCGCGAATTTTTAATCCTGTAACTCTCATCCGCCTCGCATGTAAGTGGGTATCCGATCCTCTTTTGACCTAGTTAAATAATTTGAATCGAATACCCTATTCTTCAAAACAAATTGGATCAGATATTCTGGATTTTTTGAGTGCACGAATATTTTTGCCCACTCCTAACCGCATGGCACATTGGTGTATCGGGCGGTAAGCTACAGTAAGTAACTGTACTCATAACTATTCTAAGCAGACCGACATAGCTAAAGCTAATTCGTGAATATCCCAATGTATGATTGTTGCAAATAGACAAACTATGAAAGACGCAAATAGACTCTATCTAGTTTGGGAGATGAGATTCGAGTAGAAAAGAAAAGAAGGGAAGAGAAAGTTAGGTGTTTTCAATGTTTAGAAATTTTGGTGAAATAAAAAAGAAAAGAAACTGACTGATTTGGGGGGAAGAGGCTCGCTACAGTTAAAAAATTTTCCGTCCAAAATCGGGCAGAAAATGAATGAAAGTTGTAGAAAGCCTACAAAAAATTTTAAAATTGTTCATTTTATTCTTGAAAACCTATTGAATGAAATTTTATTGACCTAGATGTTCAAAATCATTTTCTTTCTTTCATAAACTCCCAGCCAACATTAAAATCTCCTCTTTTTATCTTATCCATTCTTTTCTTTTCTATCCTCAACTCCCAAACTAGCTATGACAAATAATTGATGAAAAGCAGCAAGTAGTTTATGTTGTAGGCCTTAAGCTAATTCATGAGTGTACCAATATATATCTGTTGCAAATAAACCAAAGAGATTTATTGATCCTTTATTCTTCTTACATCATGGGTTGATGAACAATTGAATTGAACTAACAACAATGTTTGAGATTTATTGATTTTTGGTTCAATCAAAGGCTCCACGAACAAGAAAAAGGATCATCATAGTATAGTATCAATGGTGGACTTCTTGGAAGGAAATCCAGATTAATAGAGATCAGCGTAACCATCTTACACTTTCCTGAGATAAAAACGGGTTTTCCGTGAATACTAACTACATTCCGTATCAGTAACTTCAACTCAGAATTGGTCATAACTTCTATAACCTGCCATTCTTTCAAAATCAACGACAGAAAATCATTTCTGTACTCTTCATTCTATCAGTGCCAGAAAGTGATAACCTATCATCAAAAACATCTACACACCCGAACGCATCTGTACCTGGAGGGCACTCCAATGCCGCTTCAAAAACCCGATGATGAATACCATGAGAGTCAACTGAATGCCCACCTTTGTGATCATGTCCTGCTAGACAGACCTTGACACAACTGTACCGGTGTAGTACTTCCATCACTTCATCATAGTTCCATAATAGAGCTTCACGAGATGATGCATTAGGATCCAGAGGCAGATGGCAGCACACCACTACTTTCTGATTCAGCCTTGTTGCATCTGATAGCACATTTTCCAACCATTCTAACTGTTCTTTCCCGACAGCTCCATTGAACATAAGGAACCTTCTCTCCAGATCAACCAGCCCATTTGGACTGTTCTTGTCTGAATTGGGATTCTTCTCATTTAGAAATTTTAAGGCTTTCAAAGTTTTAGGATGATCCTTGGGCCAGCCAATGGCACTGATATCATAGCCATCAAGGATTACAAATCTATATTCAGGAATTGGAGAAAAATCATAGTAGGCATGATCATTGTGGCTATGGATTCTCAAAAGGGGAAGCAATTTCTCTCGAGGAAGATTGTAGAGGCAGTGATTGCCAATCATGTGATAAACGGGACCATTGAAATTATCAAATTCCATTACCAGTTTCTTCACAGCATCGAGAGATTGCTCTTTGGGACAAAATCCATCAATAATGTCCCCAAAATTCATTATGAAGTTAGGCCTTCGGTGGTTCCATTTCTTTACAGCCCTTTGCAATACAAGAAGGCTGTGTCGGTAATAGCGTGGAACCCCAAGGAATGAACGCCCATCGGGAATGTCAGCATACTGGACATCTGTTATGACCCCAAATGAAAAAAGAGGTTGATTACTTTGGACATTCACAAGGCCATTTGCAGAACCCATAGCCCCAATCCTGAGAATGTGCAGTAACAAGATGTAAGAAGCATTTCATAATTGCAAAAGGAAAGATGCAGGTAACAAAAAATGAAAAGGTGCTCCATAAAAGAGATAACAGGAAAATTGAAGCAACAAGAAGCCACATAATATTCCAGTAAAGAAACTTAGGATCACTATCACATACATCGCTTCCAATCAGAATTACAGGAAAACCATAAAATAAGGAAAATCATATTCCTTCAACCTGAGGTAAAACAAACCAGCATATTAAATACCAAGACAAGGTTACAAACATAATCATGCATAAATCTTCCGCTTTTGCTGTTCTTTTCTCCATCTCTGGCATTATAAGACAATAAGTTGTAAATCATTGGTTATAGATCTTTGCATTGCATGACAGAGACTTCAGGAAATTCTTCAACAAACAGCAACAATGTCTGAGTGTGCAATAAGCTACCTTGCAACAGAGAAATAATAGCACATGCATTCTGTAGCCTGAATCTTCCAAAAGCACTAAGATATATGTATCATCACAATTGAGTACTTCACACAAAATCAGAACTCAAACAGAATTCTTGTTCCACCAGAAGTCAGCAGGGATCTCAAGTAGATAAAAGATATAGCCACACACTATGTGCCAATTCATGCTCAAGGAAAAATATAACACTATCAGGCAATCAATTAGCTAATCTCAAGAGATGATTAACCACTTTCAATACATATTTACATGTGCTAAATGTACTTCCATAAAAATTTAAGAAATAAATGAGTTCATGGAGAATAACCAAGGAAGCAAGCTACATCTAAAAGCACAAAGCCGTACTTATCCAGTCATGTTTGGCCTACATATAACTTAAACTAGTAGTATGCAGGGGAAGAGGCAGGATGACAATTTGGACACCAAATTTGACTTGCATTAATGCCCTCAAACTTCAGGGGAATAAACTACAAAATCTCCCATAACTTCTATTAGCATATGCAGAGTGTGTGAGAGTGGACGGTAGGTAGGATGGCTAGAAGCTTGAATTGGGACTTCAAGTCAGCAAACTAAATCACAAGAGCTAAAAATTGTGTTAAAACAGCTATGAGTCTCTGAAATGATGTGGAACAATCTGCAACTAAGGTAAAATACGAAAATGTCATGAGCATGCGAAAACACAAAGGACTCTGGGTAAAAAATCATTTTTACAATATAACATCTTGATAAAGTTCCTGAAGTGTGCTTTCCAATTGGAAATCAAATAACTCTCTCTCTCTCTCTCTCTCAATTCAACTAAGATTCACAAAATGGCTTTATCATGCAATTTAACAAGTTTTAAAATAGTTTTACTCCACCTAGGAAAATTCATTCCACATTTCCTACATCACTCTCAATTTTACATCTCGATCCTGAAAAGTGCTTTCCAATTGGAAATCAAATAATCTCTCTCTCTCTCTCTCTCTCTCTCTCTCTGCCTCCAGTAAAGGTTCACCAAATGGCTTCAAAAAAGTTTCAAACTAGTTTTTTCTATGTCGGAAATTTCATTTTACATCTCCTACATCACTAGGAATTTGTCCAGTCTACCAACAAAAAAAAAAGATATAAAATAAACTAGGAAGTTATTCAGGGAAAATTCTGTAAAACTAAGAAGTAACATGTAGACCAAAAAAAAAACAGTTAATGTCTGTTCCACAACAAAATTAAAGTAACAAGAGACTTTTTTACACATTGCAAGTAGGCCCCAATAGGTCCAATAGGAAGGATCAAACTCCAGTTGAGCTTACAATACCATCCTCCATCAAAGCTTCTCACTACCTCATCTCTTCTCAGATGTACACCTGCCTCCACCTAGTGTTCTTGAGAAAATAAGGGCCAGTGTCTAAGTACTAAAGCAACTCACACTGTGATTCAAATTCGTAAAAGGGCTTCTTATCAATAGCTTAAAACAACCTATAGGCAGCTTATCTGAAATTGATAAACAAGTCAAGTCTAAAATTCTGCTAAAAGTTTTGAATTTTTTTTCCAACTTCCCATATATTAGTTGATAAAATTGATCAAAAAAGAAAAGGGATAAAAGAACTTCCCAGGAAAAAAAAGAAAAATAAAGAAATAATAACCAAAGATACCTCAAACAGAGAATTAGCCAGAAATTACGGAACAAAACGTTGATAGAACACACATTATTCAACTGCATTCTCTCTTCAGAACAATACATTTAAAATTGAGCAAAAAAATTCCCTCTTTGGTTTGTTTTCACATGTGGGCTGTTGAATAAATTTAAAAACAAACATTCTGCAGTGGGTTAAGGAATTACCAGACTAATGTGAATCATAAATCTCATGAAAAAAGATACATGATCATAGATTAATACACACAACAATCAGTACCCAAAAAAAAAAGCCTAATTAAAATCCTTTTCTAGAGAGAGAGAGATTAAATAAGAAATATGCAATTCATATACGTACCGCTTTTAGCGAATCTGATGAAGGCTTTGGTGTGTGTTTTCTTTTCTGATGATGGTTGGGAGGTCTGGTTCTATTGTTATGAAGGATTGTACTACAAATATAAGGAGCGAAGGAGGGCGATAAAACGACGACGTAGTAATGACTTCTGGTCCTTTTTGAGGAAGGAGTTGTTTGTTGGTGGTTTTTTTAGTTCTTTTTAATTCTGGAACTTGCCACGTGTAGGAAGTGGCAGTTGATTGCGGGTTTTGGATTCTTTGCTTTTCTGACTGCCCAACAAAAACACTCCACGTGGCTCTTGCCTGACTTTTTGAGACAGGATTTTGATTCCATGACATATTCGGTCTTTGGTCAGAGCACTTCTTTGGTCAGTCCGGTATGTATACCTGTAGCCCTTGCCAAGTCTCTTTACAGTTCTCCTCCGTGTATAATAGAATAGATTAGATTATATAAATATTATTATTATCAATAAAAAAAAATTATACTTCATATTTGGTTTAGTTTTCTAACGGATATCCTATTCGTCAAAACATCTAATATTCACTTAACCTATTATATGTATATATATAGACTAATAATTATTATTCTTATTTGCATTTATATACTTTTCTTATTTAATCCTATCTACCCTCCCTTGTATTTACTTACTTTCTCTAATTAATTTTACATTTTAAAAAATATGACATCTGCAATATATTTTAACGGTTGCTCTATAGACAGACGGTAGAAGAATTTAGTAAGTCAAGAAGGCCTTAGTCTAAAGTTAAAATTTCACGGTCTTGGATTCTAATTCTTCCTTCATTCTTACTGCTTTTTGAATATTATCCCTCCTCTATTTTTAAATTAAAAAAATTCTACCATTTAAGAAGGACAAATGGTATTGCACATCACAAATTTTACTTCCATAGCAATTTTTTTTCAAATAACAACTATTCCCTTCACTATTCAAAGATTAAGTTCATTTTGGAAGGTATAAATTTGTCGTTTTATAAATAATTTGCTGTGAAACTAAAATAGGTACTTTAGCATTATCACTAGCAAAAAATTCAGGCATGCTTTCCATACCTTTGCATTAATTTATAACTTATTCTTCAAGTTTGAAATTCTGCATTTCAATTAACGTTTATTTTTTTATGACCAATTACTATTCGAATGTCCCATTGGTTTGACCAATTTAAAATTAGTTCCAATATTATCATATTTGGTTATCGTCATGGTTTTAACTTTTACAACCTCTACTGAAGACCATTGGGTGTGAATTGTACTTTTAACCCACTAATACCTATAATGAAAATCACAAAATATTTTGGACAATTTTCAACAACTAATTATATTTGGATGTGATTAAATCATCTACCCATTATCTTTCGATATTCTTAAATCAGTGTATTTAATAAAAATGAAGTCTAAAATCTGAAATCTGAAATTTGCATATATTAAGTTGTTGAATTGTTAAGTACTGAAATCTTATCATTTGAACGTATTTTACATTAAGGGTCCGTTTGTTTCGGGTGAAAATGTTTTCCAGGAAAATATTTTCCTAATTTCCCGTGTTTGGTTGCACAAAAGTTACTGAAAACATTTTCCTATGTAAAATATTTTCACTCATCTTATGGAAAACAATTTAATAAAAATAGTATATTCAAAATAAAAAAAAACCTCATCCTGCTCATCCTATGCTAGTAATTAATTATGTATAATAGGGACATTCTTTTCTAGAGAAACTTTCAGCAGTGAGAGTGCAAGATATATGTCACAATAAGCATTGCATGTGATTGATATTTGACACTAAATGGCCAGCAATTTATTTATTTGCTTAAGGAGATATTTTTTATTCATATATACATTTCTCCAAGATTTTTTAAAGTTAAACAATGAGATAAATTTTATTATTTTGCATGGGAAGAAGTATGTAGTTATAATGTGTAGAAAGTAAAGATAGAGATAAAAGTGAAAATATTTCAAAAGTTAAACAAACACCAGAAAAATGAAGTAAGAAAATATTTTTAATAAACTAACCAAACACCTGAAAATGATGAAAGGGAAATGATTTTCATGGAAAATTACTTCCACGGAAAATATTTTCCCAAGGAAAACATTTTACTTCCAACCAAACAGACCCTAAGTGAAAAATGAACTCTTATTACTTATTTGTTGGAATAAGTTTTGTCTAACAATTTAGGCTCACTTAATTTATTAAGATGTTCAATTTTTTATTATCAAACATATTTAAACCCGTTAAGATCTAAATCCATTAGATTTAAAGACTGAACTGGATTATCAAACGTGAACTTTGTCATATCCACTCCCAATTTTATACTTATGTTTATATACAGTTCTCTAAATCATAAGCGAGAGATAGTAATAATTCTCAGTGACTTACAAAAGCCACTAGAGCACTAAAATAATTACTAGTACTTTCCAAATTCCAATGTTTCCTAATTGCCTCGTCTTAGTTTACAGATACTATTGTCTTTTTTTTTTGTTTTTTTTTTCAGTGCAACATTTTTACAACTGGTCCTATATTGGGGGAAGGAGGAACGGGATGGAAATGGATTCACCTAGGTCATTGAGAACTCTAAAGGAACTAAGTTACCTCAACTGGTCCTATATTAGGGGAGGGAGAAAAGAGATGGAGATGGATTCAATTAAGTTATTGAGAATTCTAATGGAACTAATAAGTTACCTCCGGAAATGTTTCAAAAAAATCTGAACGAAAATGTATACCTAGGCCCAAGAAGGGACTTCTAGTGGCCAACTGTTGGTTAGATGCCATTGTCTATTGCACAAGTTCCATGTGTTGTGGAAGTCCCCACATAGTGCTGGGCCGATAAAGTTTACCTTTAATTAACAGGTTGGAGCACCCACCCTATCTCCACCGCACCAAGTAAAAATTTGTAACACTAATTTTTGTACCGTCATGCAAATTATTTTTATTATTCAACGTTAGCCTCTGTTTTGTTTCTTCTTTAAAAAATTCAATTTAATAAACACGTGACTAATTGTTTCAATAATTAAAAAAAATCCTCGACAATCTTAAATTTGGTTTAACGTGGAAAATCCAGAACTTGATTTGTTTTTGTTAAAACTTTAGCGACTAATTTTTGTTTTTGAATGCCAAATATTAATGACCTAATTTGTTTCTGTTGAATATTTATGAATTAAAATTGCACATGTGCAAAACATTGAGAATCAACACTGAAGATTTTTTTTTTTTGGATAACCATATGATTCATGTGAATTTGGGACACAAACGGTTGCCAGATCAACCTTTTGTTGTTTCGATTTTGTCCAATTCCACGAGATATAACTCACTTTTAACAAAAAATTATTTTGAAACAAATTTTTATGAATCCCACATATTTTTACCGTTTCGATTTTGTCCAATTCCACGAGATATAACTCACTTTTAACAAAAAATTATTTTGAAACAAATTTTTATGAATCCCACATATTTTTACCGTGAATCCCACATATGACCACGTTGAAAATGATATACATGCAGTGATCTGAGTCTTACGTTTTCTTTTTGGTCAATCTTGGTGTTAACTGCTCAAGAATGGTCATTCCTGCTTCCGATTCATGTATATCTCATGAGTTGAAGATAGGAGTTTTGTCGCTTCTTTCCTCTCTGGTCTTTTACTCCTCGAACTTAACTTCACACAAGTAGAAAAAGCAAAACCAAATTATTATTGCTGATTTCACAAAAACAAGATAATAGCTGCCTGATCCTTCTTTCTTTCAAACTTCTGTTCTTTTTGCTAATCAATCATGAATCTGTTCTTTTTCTTTCAAACCTGTTTTGAGTTCCAAATAAGCCATCTTTGACAGCTTTGTCAAAAAGCTACTCTTATCATTATCACAGAGTTAGTTCTGAAGGAAACAAGGAAATGTAGGCAAACAAATATATCTGGCCTGATCTATATGCTAGAGATCTAACTTCAGTCAAAACTAATTAGTTGAAATTCAAAACTAAAAAGAGAAATAAATTAAAAGAAAAAGACGCATTTGTATACAACACAACCAGTCTCTATCAGAGACATTCTCTACGGTAAAAATTCTTTGGAGGATAGCTTACGTTGAAGGCCTTCACATCCCAAGAAAGAACAGTCTGAAATTCGCATTCAATACAGGATAGCCATTGGTTGCTTTACAATCACCCGTGCTTTCAGTAACTCTTACTTTTGTCGGAATGATGAAGGATTTGATGAATTAGTTTCTCTGGAAGTCTTTTTGTTGCCTGCAGGTAGCAGTCAACCAGAGCCAGTTAATAACACACTAACATAAATAGCTCTGTAAGAATAGTCGAGACTGTTAAGGAAATATACCTGGAAGTGTCTCATGTGGAGAATTGGTTCACAACCAACATCTGCGATCAGTTTTCCATTGGGAGTTTTCATACTGAATCTTCCTGCCTCATAGGCTGACAGTTTACTTTTATTGTTGGGCAGATTCTGGCAAACTTTTAGTAGCGAGTCAAGTGAATTCATCTGTCAGATCAACAAATAATAACAGGTAAGAAACCCAAATTTTATAATAAATGAACTGCGAAGGATGTATTAAATTAATGATCAGACACATTGACATCTAGAACTGTGCCTCCATTTTGCTCATATGTAGACCAAAACAGAAAACTTTAGCTGCAGCAATTAACAACACAACAAAATTTGGGCAGGTCCAGAATAGCCAGCCTTTGGAACCAAAAATGGGGTAGCAGAAATCAGATCTTAATGAATATTCAAAGCTTCTCATAGAACCCCACACCTGGCAGTAGGATGCTTTAAAGCCAGTTCCATGGGGAAAAAATGCAACAGAAAATAGTATACACAGCCAATAGCTAGCTCTTGGTTGCCTCAACATTATCTCAAGAAATGAAGATTATACTATCCATTCTCATAGGGTGTATCAATCCAATAAAGATTTTAACATCCCAAAAGTCGATGCAAAAATATCAATTGCATCTATCTTGTGCATATTTTGGCTGAATACTCACTAGCGCTATGCACATAAAATGGCGACAATAGCTAATAGCCAAAAATTACGAAGGCAGAAGCCAGCTATGGTTGTCACTACAGCCACCTCCTGTCAATTAAATTCCAACTATAAAGCTC